GAAGAGGCGGTGGATGATGATGACGACAATGATAATGACGATGATGCTGATGATGGTTCTGGTGGTAATGGCGCTGATGATTGAAGGGCATCCACTTTTGGGATGCCCCTCGATCCATTTCTGCACGGATGAGGGGGTGAGGAGGGGGAGGTTGGTGAGGGTGCGGAGGATGACGAAGAAGAGCAAGCTGATGACGATTGAGGGGCATACATTTTTGGATGCCCCGCAATCCACCTGCACGGATGAGGGTGTGAGGAGGGGGATGCTGGTCAGGGTGTGGGTGGTAACCAAGAGGAGGTGGATGATGATGATGATGATGATGACGACGATGATGATGATGACGATGATGCTGATGATGGTTCTGGTGATGAGAAAGGGCGTGATCCACCGCCGCTTTACTGTGGAAAATTCCCCCCCCTCTTCCTCCGGAACCCGGGGGTCCCCCCCCCCCTCCGAAAATCCCCCCCCCTGCTGGACCCCCCCCCTCACCCGGCAAAACACCCCCCCTCTCCTAACCCTCCCCCCCCCTCTCGAAAACCGGGGGGGGTCACTACCGGTTCGAACCCCCGCCCCCCCCCACTCCCCCTCGAAAACTGGAGGGGGTCACTACCGGTTCGAAGCCATCCCCCCCTCCTCCTCGAAAACCGGTGGGGGTCACTACCGGTTCGAACCCCTCCCCCCCCCCCTCCCTCACCACCAGCAAACGACTCCCAGTCCCTACCACCGTCCGCACCACATCTCCCACTGCTGTTCCCAGCACCACTACTGTCCTCTGTCCCCACTGGTTCCACCACCGTCCCTACTGACCCCACCAGTGCCCCCACCACTGTCGCACTATCCCCACTGTCCCCACCACTGTTCCCACCACGGTTCCACTCTCCCCACGTTCTCCACGGCCCCAACCACTGCCCGACTATCCCCACTGTCCCCACTGCCCCACTGTCTCCTCCGCTGCCACACTGAGCTGTCCCACTGTTCCCACCACTGTCCCCACTGTCCCCACCACTGTCCCCACTGTGCCTCTGTCCCATTGTCCCACCGCCGTCCTGGCCACCGCCCTCACCGCTGTCCCCAACACCACTGTACCCTACATTGTCCCACTGTTTCCACCACATTCCCACTGTCCCCACACCACTGTCCACACCACCACCGTCCCCACCACTGTCCCACTGTCCCCACTGTTCCCACCATTGTCCCCGCTGTCCCCACCAGTGCCCCCACCAGTGTGTCAATGTCCCCACTCTCCCCACCACTGTCCCACCACGGTCCCACTCTCCCCACTTTCCCCACGGTCCCCCCCCACTGTTCCACTGTCCCCACTACTGTCCCACCGTCCCCGCCGCTGTCCCACTGTGCTGTCCCAGCGTCCCCACTGTCCCCATCACTGTCCCACTGTCCCCACTGTCCCCGCCGCTTTCCCCACCGTGCTACTGTCCCACCACTGTCCTCACCACCGCCTTCACCACTGTCCATCACTACCGTCCCCACCACTGTCCCACTGTCCCCACCACTGTCCCGCTGTCCTCTCACCACTGTCCCCACCACCACCGTCCCCACCACTGTCCGCCCCCCCCCGGTTTTCGAGGGGGGGATGTTCGAACCAGTAGTGACCCCCGCCGGTTTTCGAGGAGGGGGGGGTTTCGGGGGGGGGGTTCGAACCGGTAGTGACCCCCCCCCTTTTCATAATGGACTGGGGGGAGGGGGTTCGAACCGGTAGTCCCCCCTGTTTTCCTGAGGGGAGGGGGGGTTCGAACCGGTAGTGACACCCCCGGGTTTTCCGCCAGCAGCGGTAGAACACGCTCTTTCGGTGATGATGATGATGATGATGATGATGATGATGATGATGATGATGATGAGGAGGAGGATAATGTCCATTGAGGGGCACCCCGATGACGATGACGATGGTGGTGATGATAGTGATGATGGTGGTGGTGATGATGATGATGGTGGTGATGATGATGATGATGATGATGATGATGATGATGATGATGATGATGATGATGATGATGATGATGATGATGATGATGATGATGATAATGATGATGATGATGATGATGATGATGATGATGATGATTCGTGCGGATGGTGACGAAGAGTATGTGGATCAAGATGAGCAGGAGGGGGATTACGATGTGGATCAAGATGTGGATCAAGATGTGGATCAAGATAATGATTACGAAGAACACGAACGAGATGAGGATGGAGGACGGATGAGGCGGGCAGGAAAAGGGGAGGCGGGAGAGGGAAGCGGGGACGGGAGCGCGAGGGAAAGCTCAATTTTTACACGCTGCCATCCCTTTCTACGGAGTGCTGGGCCGTGCATCGGCGGGACCGCGCAGTGAATCTGCATTTTACTTCTAAGAAATACTGCTGCTGCTGCTGCTGCTGCTGCTGCTGCTGCTGCTGCTGCTACTACTACTACTACTACTACTACTACTACTACTACTACTACTACTACTACTACTACTACTACTACTACTACTACTACTACTACTACTAC